TTGCCCGCGTCGAGTGTGGCGGACCTACGTGCGGATACGCAAACATCGGGGTGGGAAGACGGTCTTGTGCAGTGTGTTGAGAGCACCGCGTGAATACGGGGGGCTGCGAATACAGTGGATACAGCGGAATACCACCGAAAACGGCTGAATACAAGAACACGTATTCCGCTTCTGGGGTGTGGCGGACATGACCACGAGCTTGAGGTCTGGCCGCTGGATGGCGACCTCCTTGATGAGGCCTAGCAGGCCGGCACAATCTCGCGTGATCTCGCGTCTCTCTCGGGCGGGAGGAGCCCGGGGCCTCCTCGGCGGCGCCGAAGAGAATGTCGGTCGAGAGAGTTCGCTCGTGCGCCTCGTCCAGGATCACGGCTGCGTACCTATAATAGCTAAGTACGAGTTAAGTACTAGCTCACTCACTAGGATCACGGCTGCGTACCTGGACGCACAGCCGCGGCTGGGGTGGAAGACTGTTGCGAGTCGGTTCTGTGAGTCCTCTCCACACCGCTCGAGCGGCGGTCTCACGAGTCATGTGCCCCCCCCCCCCCCCTTCTCATCTCGAGTCTGCACACCGCTCGAGCAGCGGGTCCGCCATCGCCTAGTAGACGGGGTGGCCTCCTCTCACATCACACACAAGGCCCGGTGGGCGAGCGGTCTGAGCGTGGCATCTCGCCTCGCGCAGCAGCATGCCGTCGGTCATGTACTTGAGGATCGTCTTTGTGCCCGTCATGTCCTCGAACCGGATGGTGTACCCCACCTGTGTACCACACCCCGTCCTCACGTCTCGAACCGGCCGCTATCAGACACATCAACGAGGCTCCCATCTCTGGCAATCTCTGGCCATCGCTGGCTGCTGCTCTGGTCACTCGCAACCGCTGCCACCACCGCCACCGCCGTTACCGCCGCCACCGCCGCCATTACCACCACCACCGCTGCTGGCTGCTGCCGTTGCCGCCACTGCTGCCGTTGCCGCCACTGCTGCCGCTGCCGCTACCGCCGCTGCTGCTGCTCCCGCTGCTGCGGCTGCTGCTAATGCTGCAGCGGCGGCGAACCTCCTCGCCGAGCTCGACGTCCATCTCCTCGGCGACGCGCCTGCGCGGCGCGAGGATGCGTCGCCTCAGCTGAAGGGGAGCGGGACAGCGGGACAGCGGGACAGCGGGACAGCGGGACAGCGGGACAGCGGGACAGCGGGACAGCGGGACAGCGTGAGAGCGTGAGAGCGTGAGAGCGTGAGCGTGAGAGCGTGAGAGCGTGAGAGCGTGAGAGCGGGAGAGCAGGAGAGCGGGAGAAGCCGCAGCGGCGGCGCACTTGGACACCGACATCGCGGCGACGCGGCGCGGCTGGGTGCACGCGACCATGCGCTTGCCGCGCGTGACGCCCGTGTCCACCATGAACGACGGGATCTGCGTCGTCTTTCCCGAGCCCGTCTCGCCAACCAGCACCATCGTCTGGTTCTTGCGCATCATCTCGAAAAACTCGTCCTTCTGCTCCCACACGGGCAGCCGCTTGCGCGTCTCGAGGATCTCGTAGAACCGCCTCGAGTACGGCCGGTTCGTGTATGGGTTGACGCCCGTGCCGGAAGCCGTCGAGGCCATCAGGCCGCTACAAGCGTGCGCGGCGGGTGAGCGGGCGGCGTTGCGGCGGTCGCGGCGGTCGCGGGATCGGGCGGTCGCGGGGAGCGGCGGCGGGGCGGGCGGCACGCCTGGTATCACCCACGTCCAGCTTGCGCTTCTGCCCAGAGGCCTGCATTCGGTTGCTCTCCGCTGGCCCCTGCTGCGCCGCAGCGTACGCGTCGACTCCGGAAGAGACCCCGGAAATTTTCTTTTCTCGTTTCTCAATTTTAGCGCGAGTTCTTTCTGCGGGCAAAACGAGAAACTCGCCAGGTTTCGTAGCAAGACCCGGAGGAGGGTTGCAGGCGCCCGGAGGAGAGGCAGCTCTTGTGCGCTTGTGCCGAGTACCTCTCTCACAGCACACTGACACGAGAGGGCGATGTCGGGCTTCGCCCCCTTTAAGCCCTCGGAGCTGAACAAGGAGGCCCGCGAGAGCATGCAGCAGAGCGGCTCGCTCATCCCGTCGCAGTCCCGCCTCAGCATCCCTCCGCCACCGCCGCCGGGAGGCCCTCCCGCAGGCGCCGATCCGTACGACCGCTTCGGCTCACTGCCCGGCTTCGAGTCTGGGGACTCCGCCGCCGCGGACGCGCCGGCGGCGGTCGGCATGTCTGAGGCGGAAGTGCGGCTCGCCAGCGGCATTCCGCCGCCGCCGCCGCCCGGCGGGCCGCCTTCCGGGATGCGCCCGCCACCGCCGCCGCCCAGTGGTCCTCCGGGCGGGAAGAGGCCGCGCGAGGCGGACTGGGTGGAGGCGGGCTCGGACGAGGGGTCGGACGAGGAGCTCGACCTGCGGGGCGGCGGCGTCGGGTCGTGCCCGCTGCCCGCCATCGGCAGCGCGCCCCCAAACTCGACCGAGGAGTGGGCGAGCGTGCACGACACGCCCGCGCTGCACAACATGCTGCAGGAGGACCGGGCCGAGGCGGAGAGGTCGCACCCGGACGTGCACCCGCTCCCGCCTGGCGCCTTCGACCTGCCCGGCCGCGTCGTCAAGCTCTCTGCGCTCGAGGAGTCGGCCGCAACAGAGGCGCCTCGCTGCTGCCTCTGCTCCGTCGCCCTGCTCCCTCTCTCTCTCTCTGCTCCGTCGCTCTGCTCCCTCGCTCTGCTCCGTCGCTCTGCCCCCCTCCCCCATTGACGAGATTACCCGAGATCGCGCCACCGCAGGCCCTCGACGCGCCCTTCTCGAACAGCACGCGCACCGGCCGGGCTAGTCGCGGCCCACTGGCCGGCCCGCGGGGCGGCCTTCGTGGGCTGGAGGAGGTTCCGCCGGGGGGTGGGCTTCCCCCCCGAAAGGCGACTAGACGCTTCTTTGAGGTTGCGGACCGGGAAGGAGGAGGAAGATTTGCTCCAGAACTAACCCGGTTTCTGCTTCCGCCTAAGTTGTTTCCTACACTCTGCTCTC